TTATAAAATCATAATCATAAGGAAGTACTTTTGAAAATGAATCCAGGCGGTTAACATTGTTGCTGGAAGCATGAAATTGAGCAACCAAAATATGCCTGAACAACGCGCTCACAACAAATATAAATTCCTTTACCAGTATGGGCACAGACCATGGTACATACTTGAAAATATTTTTGCAAGTAGTCTTCTATAAGCATCCAGTACTTATTAGAATGTGAAAAAGTGCGTCTTGTTTGCAAAAAATAATTATAAACGCCGCAAGCGACCATGCGACCTAAGGATTAATCTGCAAACAACTACAGTCCTCCGCTCTACCAACTGAGCTAAGGTCGGCACTGTTAATTTTTGGCTGTCTTTTATTAATAAACAATACTTTAGCATCATCTCACCAACTTTTTGATGACTGTCAAACAGGTAAGGTAGTCCCTTCAAAAAAAAAAAACAGGTAAGGTAGTTAGTTAGTTTGGTTGATCCAGCAGTGATAGAAGGAAAACACAGTCGTTATGTTGATCTGTAAAATTTTGCATTTCACCTTTGGACTCTGTTTTGATGATCCGGATCCTAGCCTACATATAATGTATCAACATGATTACAGTGGCTGCAATATCTTTTCTTTTAGTCTCGTGGACACTGAGAAAACATGGCTTTTGTCTGTAAGACACCATAGCGGAAAAAGTGACTATGTTCAAATTTGTTATCTCAATGCACTAAACATATTGCAGCCACTACAAGATATCTTATGATAGGTGACGTTTCGTTTACGTCACAAAACTTGAAAATTTTATCTTTGCGTAAATTTTGTGACGATCCTGTGACAAAAACATGTTTGTCACCTATCATATGTGTTTAAACATGTTCTGTGACGATCACAATGTTTTCGTCACAAAGTTTTGTGACGATCCTTCCATCGTCACACCGCAAAACGTCATAAAACTTAACAAGGCCCCTGTCGCATGCAGCCCATTTACCGACAAAGCCCAATTGAAAGCCCATCGTATATTACTGCCTGGACCACTATTGAGCCCATTATTTTCTGAGTCTAGCCCATTAATTTTCGTTTTTGTTATTTTTTTTTGTTTCCATACTAGCTCAGCCCATTTATTTTCATAGGTGGCTCGGCCCATTTTCTCTCCTTTTTTTCTGTGGATGGCTCGGCCTTTTTTAGATGCATAGGTGTCCAGCCCATTGTCTTCAATATCAAACATTCAAATAAGAATAAAAATATTTTTTATGCCATAATACTATCCATAAACAACAATAAAAAATGCCATAATGTTGTACATCAGATCACATGTTACACAATAAAATATACCTAGCCTCCAAACATCAGATCACAATAACATGACAAAATAAATCGTACAACATACACATCCACTTTCTAAGTCACGTGAAGGTTAAAAAATCAAAACATTTAAGAAAACACTTTCTGATTGCTCTTGTAGTCAAGTTAGACCTGCCCATCTGCACCACCAATAGTCTGGAAAGAACTGAATATCCAGGTAACATAATGAGAGCATCAAGTGAATGATACTGCTGGCAGATGTTTAGCTCACTGGTCATGGCCATGTTCAACAGCACCATGTCTCCACTCAAGTACTTCCTGTGATCTGACTGAAAAGAGTGACAAGTATCAGGAGAAGAAATAATTTCACACCTACGCTAAATAAACAATAGCACTGACATTTAAAGCTATTTGTGTGCCTCTATCTATTACCACAATGATTTCAAAGTGCAATACTACAACCGATTCAGATCAACAAGGGCATAACTAATGCATGCACAAGTAAACCATTTAGCTTCTGTTCAGTAAAACTGACAAAACAAGAAAACTGACAAAACAAGTCAGCGTTGAAATTGATACAGTCAGTAATTCAGCAAAGCGAAAAGGGGTCACAAGGTAGAATCATATTTATATACCTACAAGCTAATATCAGCAGAGCAAAATAGCAAAAACAGAGCCACACAGCACTATGATACATGTCTCCACCAATTTCCATGTCCAATCTCATCTTATGTTGAGAGGTACAAAAATGAGAAAGAATCCGATAATTTTTCATTTTTTAAATCTTTTTTATCTTTGAAAATACATTGATTTATGAGGTCAAATTTGTTCTGAGCATGACTCATGTCCCATTTAACCTCAGTAATTATTTTGATTTTTTTTAACTTTTGAATTTGTATATCCAATGTAATCCAAGTATCTCATAGATCCAATATGTAGTATAGAATTAAACTCATTGCTAAGTCAACACTCACATCTCTACGTGTTTTCTAAAATTTCACCAAAAATACTACTCATAGATATGTATAAGATGTACACGTGCACAAATTTTCATTTCGAAAATCAAATGTTTTAGAGAGTTCCAAAAAAATGAAGCAACAAGTAAATAGTGATCATTAATGAATTGATAGGTTTGTGAAAAAATTATCCCAAAAAACATTATGTAGATGGCTCTAGATGGTAGATCATGATTTTATAAATAATTGAAAAAATAATCATCTGATTTGGACAATATATGAAGAATTTATACATGTTTGAATTTTTAATTTACTCAAAGGAGTGAATTGCATTGGCAAGTACCACAACTTGTGAGGTGGGTGCAATTTAGTCACAGAACTTGAAAATTGCTCAATTAGGTCACACAACTTGTTACTACGGTGCAAATGGAGTCATAAAGCATACCACAACATCATATTTTTGATGATACCAGAGCAAAGTATAACCATATTGTAGGCAAAAGGATGCCACATCAACATATAACGTGATTTATGAGCTAATACTCATGGCAATGAAGAATTTGACTTCATTGGAGTAGTGGCATTGGTAAGAAATGAACTCAGCGGAATTTGCAAGTGTAGGAAGAAAGCAAAGTGGTGTTTGCATATGTCACGTGATTAATGTGTTGTGAAAACAAATCTTTAAATACATGTTGAATCTTGATTTTGTTGTGCTCTATATGAACTTATCCTATAGTTTATTTTTAATTTATGACTTCATTTGCACACTCAGAACAAGTTGTGTGATTTGATTGAGCAATTTTCAAGTTCTATGACTAAAACGTATCCACCTCATAAGTTGTTGTACCGCTGGTGCAATTTACTCAAAGAAAAAATTACAAGATGGGAAGACCCGCAGCATGGACTGCTAGAGGCCGAGGGCCGACCAACACGTGGGCCCAATTTTACAGTGGCCGGTGGCCTCGAACAGTCGGACGAGTATGTAAGGCCGCCCAACAGCATTGGCTGAAATCAGCCCACAGATGACGAGCCAAAAGTAGCCTGGTTTCAAGGCCTTGTCGGCTCAAAAAAAAAAAAGGCCTTGTCACAAGCCTGGGCTTGGTTCATTAGCAGAGCAAGCCTTTCGGCCTTGGTTCCTCCGAGGCTCATCATCAGCTATGGGCTAAAAAGATCAAGCTATGGGCTGCAGGAGCTATGGGCTAAAAAGATCGAGCTATGGGCTGCAGGAGCTGCCCCATACCCAGTGTTTATTTGACGCTAAAAAAAACTCAGTGAAACCTAGTTTCTACATTTAATTATAGCTTCGTGCTCTCAAAATCGTAAAACAATCAACATTGCACTTTATGACATGGAAAATTCAAAAATAATAATTAGAGCCACAATTACAAAGAAATAAATAGTTTATTATTTACTTATATTTTCTAATGGCATCAGCCTAATGTAAATTATATAAATACTTTCAAAAAACTTAGTGACACAAATTCAAAGCCGTGAGATTTTCCACTATCAAAAAATTGTGACGCTCCTATGTAACCTCACATGACAAATGAGCGTTCGTCACAATATTACTTTAGCTTGGTTTGTGACGATTCCCGACAGGTTTTTATGACGCAAGTCTAATTTTCGTCACTAAACTCATTTGACCCATCTGGATCGTCATAAACAGAATGCCTTAGTGACGTTTCGATGAGTTGTCGTTCCATTATCGTCGTAGAAGGCTATATTTCTTGTAGTGAGCTTGAAATTTGGCACAAGGTTACATTGTTGCACTTTCTGTTCATGTGATTTTTTGCCAATTGTTTGCATAGTTTAATTTTAAATTAAATATTTTATTAGTGAAAAAGTGATGTAAACAATCAACAATAAATATGAAAAAAAATCTGCATGTATAGGAATTTAGTAATGTATGTTTGTAAGTTTCAAATTGCAATGTATTTTATATATTAAGATGAAAAATTGAAAATAGTCACTTTTTTCGCTATAGTGGCCTGCAGACAAAAGCCGCGTTTTCTCAGGGTCCACGAGACCAAAAAAAACAATACGGTGTTCAGGAGACAAAACTAACATTGAAGAGTGTCCCACAGACAAATTTCCCATATATTGTTAGATAGATGTAGTAGGGTTTAGAGCTCGTTCTCAATTGCATTGGAAACGGATAAAAATAGTGTTTAGAATGCCGTGACACGCTTCCTCTGTTCAGAGAGATATATATAGGTATATATTTTAATGCTTATGATTATAAAATCATAATCATAAGGAAGTACTTTTGAAAATGAATCCAGGCGGTTAACATTGTTGCTGGAAGCATGAAATTGAGCAACCAAACTATGCCTGAACAACGCGCTCACAACAAACATAAATTCCTTTCCTCGGTGGTGAGACCAGTATGGGCACAGACCATGCATGGTACATACTTGAAAATATTTTTGCAAGTAGTCTTCTATAAGCTATCCAGTACTTATTACAATGTGAAAAAGTGCGTCTTGTTTGCAAAAAATAATTATAAACGCCGCAAGCCATGTGAATTTTTTTTTTTGCAAGTAGTCTTCTATAAGCTATCCAGTACTTATTACAATGTGAAAAAGTGCGTCTTGTTTGCAAAAAATAATTATAAACGCCGCAAGCCATGTGAATTTTTTTTTTTTGCAAGTAGTCTTCTATAAGCTATCCAGTACTTATTACAATGTGAAAAAGTGCGTCTTGTTTGCAAAAAATAATTATAAACGCCGCAAGCCATGTGAAAAAAAAAAAAAAAAAAAGCATCCGACCTGCCGGATTCGAACCAGCGACCTAAGGATTAATCTGCAAACAACTACAGTCCTCCGCTCTACCAACTGAGCTAAGGTCGGCTTGTTAATTTTAGGCTGTCTTTTATTGCTAAACAACACTTTAGCATCATCTCACCAAGCTTCATTTTCCTTTGATGACTGTCAAACAAGTAAGGTAGGTAGTTTGGTTGATCCAGCAGTGATAGAAGGAAAACACAGTCGTTATGTTGATCTGTAAAATTTTGCATTTCACCTTTGGACTCCGTTTTGACGATCTGGATCCTAGCCTACATATACTAATATATCAACATGATTGGGTCAGGATTTCAGTTCTTTTATAGTCCAGGATATCGAACCATCCAAGAGGGTCTGAGGTGAACACCCTCCCTCTTCTCAAAAGAATTCGTTGGTGGTTGTGAAAACTTGACTACGAAGTAGTGCACACAGCCAAATATTGCTGTCACAGCGTCTATCAAGTCCTTTAATTGCTGTCACAGCGTCTTTTCCAGAAAACAGAATAAATAAGCACCGAGCCCTCTTCAACTGCAGTAGATCTAACGTAGAAGAGTACCGACCAAATATGTTCATCTAAAGGTACGTACATTGTATCAAAATTCAACATTCTGGTTCGTCATTCCTTGTCAACTAGAACGAATGAGATTATGTACAATCAACGACAAATAACAAAGAGTTAGTTCCTGCTTCGTTCAACTTTCTAACAATACTCTTCTACTCTATTGAAAGTAAAGAAAACTGTTAGATAAAACTTTGCTTCATCAGACAGCTTGGCAGTTTGGCTCATGACGGTGGGAAGAACCTATTGAGGTTGAACGGCAGGGTGTAGAACTCTTCATTTCTGCTGTCGCCCCGAAACGTCCTGAAACGCGCCCACCAGGGCATTCCTCGGTCCTTGGCTGCATCTCTGACATCAAGTGTGTTGTCAAGGATTACCGCCACAAACAGGGCGACGGTAGGTGGGGATGAGAAGATTGTGTTGATGTAGTCATTGAACTGCAACAAAATGAGGTATTATACAAAAGCTTTGTGTTACTATACCATGCCAGATTTATTTATTATTTTGCTAGGAGCTAATTTTAAGTTAGATTTGAAATCTACAGTATAGAAAGTTACGAACCCATCCAGCTTTTGTGTGCGCTGGGCCTTGTTGAGAACTTGTTAAATATCGAGAGAAGTACTCTGGTATTGATAAACCCAGGAAGAGTGAGACACCGATAATGAAGAGGTTGCGCATTGAGTTCATGTTAGTGAACTGCATAAATGAGAGCCCCACAGCAGCTGAGAACAGGACAGAAGAGCAGGCTTCATTATACAGTTCAGTGCTCAAGGTAATAATGAAATGCTACATTCACTTTGTCTTCTATGATGCTTACCAACAATTCCAAACATAACGCAGTAGGCGGCGGCAAATATTGTTAAAGGTATCGAGGCAAAAAGTGCTCCAAATTTCCCTGCAATCATAATTCATGATATATACAGACTCCAAACAACAAGTGGAACTTCGTGTTACTAGTTCGGAAGAAATTTTACCTAGGATAGAGAAGAATATCATGAAACCAGCAGATATCTGTATTACTCTTCTGCTACCTATTCTTGTTGATCCAAGAAGACCAACATTCTCTCTACATTCCAGGCAAATATTCCACATAAAATTCAGACTTGCAGCCAAAGGAAATCTCAAAATGAAGAATAATCATGTGTTAGTAACTTAGTATGGAGATGCACTCACACAGAAACTGTAGAACCAGTGCCAGTTCCAAATAGCCCATCCAGTAGGGTACCGATACCCTGAATATCAAAATTTTCAAAGGATGGGTAAGCATAATTAATTAATTACCTTATACAAAGTGACCCATCTAAAGATTTTTACTCATCTTCAACATGCAAAAACATGTGTTATCGAACAACTCTTCATCTACAACTTATTTTTCTAGTAAACACCCTTGACATAGATTATTTTCCATATTAAATAGTTTACTATTAGAACTCTTTTGGAGATTGGGATAATACCACTAACCTGCCATCCAATGCCTCTACTAAGGACATAAGCTGGTGGGGGAGTTGCACTTGCCAAACGTGCAGCAGCTTTAAATGCTCCTGTTGTCTGCAACCCTCAAACATTGTGGATCAAACCAGATAGACACAGCAAATTAAATGCTCAAATATTGACAAGCAACAAATCCATAGGAAACATTTTGAAAGAAATTTTATGTTAAATATGTCATCATACCTCTATTAAAGAGACCAGCACGGCAGCCATCATACCAAATGCATGGTCTGCACTGAACGTTGGTGCGCCCCATTGCAACGGGAATGGAATGCTTATCCTGAAGAATTTGATGAGTCACTTGAGAAATGTGTAACATGGAGTTTAAAATGAATCTGTGACGTCTAAGGTAGTCTTCAAACCATAGGGCAGAAGAGATGAGGTTGGCACGGTCTGTACGGCAATTGATCTGAGTGACAAGTGCCGTATGCTTGTATGCACCACTTGCTGTTAGGATGTGGGCATATACCCAGACAAGAGCGATGCACATCAGCAGTGAAAATCTCTCCAAAACAGGAACATGCCGAACATGAACGTGTTTAAGATACTGGGAAAGCGCAACAAATAGGATAAGCATCGGGAGACCAATCTCTACGCATTTCCCAACCTGCAAAATGTCGTCTTAAATTAGCTGCGGAAGATTCCGCTATTTTTAGATGATTGAGTAACGTTATTTTTCCAGTTCAATGTAACAACGCCAGTGAAAAGACAAGATGACATATGAGATTTTTTTTTTTAGTAGTGTTAAACCCATCGTAGAAGTAATTTAACTGTCCCAAATGAAAAAAGGACATTTTATTCAACGAAAAGCATTGAGAAATAAGAACCAAATATTTTTTTTATTGTTGCTGAACGTCCAGGCCACCGTTAGGAAATTACTATAAATGATAAGGTAGGAAGCAGAGCTCAGAAAACTTGAACAATACAAAGAAAAGAAATAAGATTGTAAAGAATCATTAATATGTAGTTAACAACGTGAGACAGTAGATTTTACCACAGGGAATCCTCTCTCGAAAAGGCCAAGGCCCACCAGTGCAACCACTGGAACCATCCCAAGTGGGCTAAAGAACCTGCAACATGGACACCAATATGTTTTGTTCTTATTCCTGCCGTCGATCCGAAGGTAGCAGACATGCACATCACTTTTGGGCCCTTTTTTTCCCCTTCCCTATGATTACTATATTAGCATAATGTACTTTTTCTAAAGTGACACCTGCAATTCAAACTAATAGGCACATAAAGTGAATGGATAGCCAAAAGGGCCTAGACTAGTTTGTTATGAACAAAACATATAATGATCCAAAAACTAACCATGTGACCCACTATCACAAGATATGTCAACATGTCATGCTAAAGTTACAAAAAACAAATCCTAAAAAGCATTTCAGCTGCAATACACGAATCTTAATAACTATTCAGGTTTCAGATTCTCATACATGTTAAGGACGTAATCTATGCACAGGTTATGGACATAATAGATAAATAATTACAGCATACATCAATCAATTAACAGAAAAAAAAGGGAGTGAGTTGCATGTACCTAGAACATATTGCCCACAGCTGGCTATACCCAAGAATTATTTGAATGCTTGAGGAAACTATCAAAGCGCCTTGTATGGCTCTCATTGTCTGAAGGAATCTCTGCAAACATCCCAATATTATAAAATTTTGTGTATGTAACATGAAAATTTTCGGTAGTGCAATGACCTAGTGACATCATCCTATTTCAGTTTCCATGAGCACATTTTCTGAAAGATACAAGAGAAGCAGGAAAATTATTGCATTCTTACAGTGTGGCCATCAGCTATCTGTTGGAGTGAGGGGTCTCTGATTATGGAGAGGATTGGGACAACATATGCGTAAGAGCCTCCCATGATTGTAGGAAGGCGAGTGCCGAATAATGTCTGGAGCAGTGTCTTTATCCCGGTCACGAATAGAAGTGTTTGAACCACCCTGGCCTTATCATGCTTTGTGAACAAAACGAACAGAAAAACATTTCTGTAGTCAGACGTTGCAGTGATATGGTATAGCAGTTTTCAGTTGACATTCTAATAATGAAAACAGAAATTTTCTTTTACAACTAATAATGTAGTCCATCTATAAACTGAGAAGTTTCAAGTACTGCCAGCACAAACGAGCTGGCGCATAAATAAACAAGGACGGAATTCTCACATCGTTTCCACCCATTAGAGGAACCAGCGTTGTGGGGATCATCACAGCAGTGCCCAGTGACAGTATGTAATGCTGAAACCCCAAAGCAATTGCCTCTCCTGCAACACCAACACACAATCAGAATCAACAACCAAAATACACAAAACGATCCAAAAGAGAATTACATATATTCTCCGGTCGATGCAGTGTGACACATACCCCATGAAGGGTTCGAATCGATGCAGTACTCAAACCCCTGGAGCTGGTCCATGGGTGGATGAGGGACCATGTCCTCAGGTTTCACTTCAGCCATTTTCAGCTAAATTCTCCTCTTTTTCGTCTCAAAGATGATTCGAATTGTTGAAAGAACAAGGGATAGGCCTGAATACAGCAATGATTCTAACTTTATTCAGCCAATAAATCCCAAAAATTCCGTAAGGGATCCAGCGAGATTTCTCCCAAATATTCCAAGGACCGAACCTTATGCCCTCTAACGATCTGAACATAAACAGAAGAAACATCAGTAATCTACCACTCAATTATGCGCGCGATTCACAAGAAGGCATAAACAAAAGAATAATCTAAAGTGCAACACCATCCCACCTTGAGTACAATCTGGGCAGATGAAGAGACTCTGCGAGAGGCAACGCCCAAGCCAAGAGAAGACCGAGAGCAACGAAACAGAGCAGCGAGACCAGGAGCAATGTAATAGCCAATCGAGCAACGACTCTTTGGAGAGGAGACAAGTACGTCAGCAACCACAGCGGAGCTCTGCCACCGGAATTCGGCGGCGGCGACGACGACGAGGAAGCGACGAAGCAAAGGGGAAGAGGATGGGGCAGTGCTGCCGGTGCGCTTTAGCGAT